TATTATACAACTGCGCAGACCGTTTGCTAAATTGTGTACTAGCAGACACGGTCCTTGTCTGAGGGACCGTGACTATAGCGTCTTGCCTTCTTCTTGTTGATTTGCTGGCATCGAAAACTGTAGATTTATGTTTTTTTAGAACAATTTGAAGTATATAGAGTTTCCTCACCGATAGCAAGTTACTAATTGTATATAAATCTTCAGATGGGAATCTCTTTTTTTTAAATTACATACGCTTGATTAGAGCTCGTTGTGCACGCTCCAACTCTAAAAATTTAGTTCTCCCTGCACCACCCCATATAGGTATACAGTATAATAGCACTGACTGTACCAGTGCGACATAAACATCATTTAGCAGATTTTTTTGGCGGCCATCACTGCTACATATATTTTTAGGTACTACATGTCTCAGAGTACTGAAAATCCGACTAAACTTTCTGACTCTATTTCTATTTCTTTCTCTATGAATGACAGATGTTTCGTACACCCACACCTAAAATTAAGACACATAAGTGGGGTAGCACTTGGCTTCGGCCCGTACTATCCCTCAAACCCGGCCTTGTAGCCGAGCTAGATAAAAGAAACAAGGAATAATAATATATAATAATTGTGTGTCAATTACATTTATATTAAAGTTGTCTAAAGGGCCTCTGCGCTTTTTTTAAGTTGGCTTCGGCCCCTCGTACGCCTCCCAAATGACCGGGACCTTTATTAACAATCTTACATTACATTTTCTTTTATCTTATTATGACACCGGTACGATAAGATTGTCTCGCTTCCTGGCGTAGGTCTCCCCAAGAACTCGACATCGCGAGCGGTCCAGCGCGTCGCGCCTCCAGGTTGGTACAGCAATAGCTTTAATGTCGTCCTCCCATCTGCGACATTGTCTCCCTTTGCGCCTTTTGTATTGTCTCGGACACCATTCTGTTACATTTCTTGCCCATTTTTCTCTTTTATTCCTAACTAGCTTTTACCCGCGGCTTAATTCGCTCGCGTCACAAAAGTATAAAAGTAGCCAAGGGGGCGTGGCGTGACCGACACGCCCCCTTGCCACTTCTCCTTTTTTAATATTTCTGTGGTTTATACCAAGTCATAAGAAATTGTCTCTCGATCTTAGAATGTCTGAGATCGATTCAATGCATAGGATCGATTAAAAAGATCGATTTTTTTGGTCCAAAAGATTGATTCTTCGATTAATCGATCCCAGGTCGCCATCCCTAGGCCCAAGGTAGAACGAGTATCATATGATATCGGATACATTATGTATGGAGAGAGTAGTTTTTTACAAAGAATGTATTTGTATGTTATTCTATGCGTGTAGTGTCATGTAATAAGGGGTTAGCCTGTTGCCATATACCTGCCACGATTCATAACTGGTGAACAGTGGGTTGAACGTTAATCAACCCACTTTCAATAAAACGTTCCAGTTTAGTTGGTTAAGGCAATAATTATTACATTTTAACAGATTATATTTAGTAGCTATTAAACCTTTATACCGATCGGTTGTCTACTCATTCAACATAACATTCAACATTTTCATAACATTTTCACTGTTGGGAATTAAGTCCCACAAACGTGCAATAATATGCAGCTCTACCTACCCTTTCGGAGGTATAAGGCGTGATTATAATAGGTAAATAAATAAATAATCGTTTTCTTTATAAAATTAGGGACGGTATAATTTATAAAAAACATTACCGAGTTGCGCAATGAGTGCGAGGTGGTAGTCCGCGATGCGCAGTCCTAGGTCGGGCCGGCGCAAGTGTTCCTCGCCCTCCACGTAGCGCTCCATGGCCTTCTCGTGCGCACGCACCAGCGCGTCCTCCTGCACAGGGGGCATTCTCTTGTCAAAATGGTACTACAGTAGTGGACATACTTAATTGGAAGGTGAAAGGAAACAATGCGAATCTCGTAACCATCGTTAGTCAGATGTATACTTAATATACAAAGCTGAAGAGTTTGATTACATGCCAGCTCCAGGACTACTGGTCCGAGTTGAATAATTATATTTGTGTTCATTGAATACTCACTTTATTGAAGAAGGTTATTATGGACTATAAAATAACTACAGTCGATTCACTTCTGCATTAGAAAAAAAAGGTTCATTTAACTTAGGAAATGAATTAAATCTAGAATAATTTCATAAATGCTATTTTCAATATAAAAAATTACCCATACTTAGATTTTAATAATTGTTAGGTAAGTACTAACAGATGGATTACCAATCCAATAAATAGTAACATACATGTAACTTTAATTACAAACAATAATAAAAATGTATCAACAATATTCTTCCCTACAAATCACATAATTTATACACGATATAAGGCAACAAGAAATTACTGTATACATTCATATAAATAAAAATAACTAAGTTAGAGTACCTATGTAGCAGGTATTATGAAAAACGTTACAGGTAGGTACTGCTGACGCCCCTACTTCTTTAGCACCGGTTTCACTACCTCCATATAAGTACCTGATAAACTTATGTGACAGATAGTTCATACAAATTACGTTCTTAATTCAAATTTATCTGGTAGGTAACGGCTATCCAGATATTGTGAAACAGGCCCTTAGGCTAATAGGCTAAAAAGTGTGCGTTCGCGCAGCAGAATGTTGTTGAATTTAAAGATTTTAATTATGCAGATAAATAGTATATGACGTCCTATAATTGTGTATGGTAAAAAAAAAATTGTGTATGCAGCCATTGAGGAGAAATTAACCAAAAACTGATTTCACTGGCCGAACGTTGTCCTGGCGAAACTTTTTTTAATCCATAGACTTTAGAAGAAAAGAGATGTGTCCAAAACTTTGTGTGTAATTGTTTATGTATGAATGAAACAGTGCATGCATAAACTTCGGAGAAATTCAAGTTTCCGCTACACGAACGTTTGGCCATTAGCTAGTTTTCATATAAAGCGCTTAACATAGAGACCTGGAGATTTTTACATACGTTGTTTTGAATTTGTTTAAAAAAACACATTTGGAAAAGTCGTAGGGTTATAAACGTAAAATACACTTATTAGGTCTTAGTTCTTAAAGTAGCACTTTGGGGTCTAGATTTCCACGTTTACACAAACCTTGTAAGTGTCTGCAACATGTTGCCAAGTATCAATGATGTTCCGTTAGTAATTAAAAAGTTATAGGATAATTTACCATGAATAAGTCACTGTTTACAAAGCAGTCGAATATCACGACGTTCTAAAGGAATTGCATGGTGAAATGTATGCCAATAATGTGTTTAATCATTCAACTGTTCACATGCAAAATTTCATGTTATTAAATTCAGTAATTAGAGAAAGCCAATTATAATAATACTGACGAAGCATCGAAAACCTACGTAATCCGACCAAGTTCGGATAGCTACAAAAAAGCGGCCGTGCAATATATTTAGGACGGACTTTGGCACTGGCAGTATACTGTAAAGAAGACACCACTATATTACAGACTCGGATGCCATTAAAGAAAACAAAAAGTAAGAACTGTCAAACTTATGTGTTCCCTATATGTACTTGTTATACTCTTTGCATACGTGCTAGTTCAGTAATTTGGTAGTTCTGCCTGAAATGTTTTCCGGGAGTATTGAAAATTGGCAATTTCTATCCGGATTATTTGCGATGCGATTATGTAGATTCATTACATTTTCGTTAAAAAATAACGGTTAGGTATATATATACAATATATATCTATTCACCCCCTATTACATGGACTCATAACATAAAAAGTGAGAAATAGGTGTTACATTGTACAGTGGCATTAAGTGCCGTAATGTGCACCTCTGCTTACCCCTTCGGGGATAAAAGGCGTGATGTTATGTTATGTGTTTATAACAAAGTGTACTCTAAAAATAAGCTTTTTATAATTCTGTCTAATGCTATTGTGAATTAGTGAATAAATAAATCAACAGCAACAACTGAAAACTTATGACAGGGCTCAAGAGACAGACAATTAAGAAGGAGAGGAGGAGCAGTAAGTGACCTCGTTAAAGTCCCGGGTGACGCGCGCCAGGTGCTCGCGCAGGTACGAGTACAGCTCCTCCGCGGCCAGCTGGCGCGCCGCCTTCTTCGTGGTGGACGTGGCCACGCGCTCGTGCTGGCCGATGCGCGCGCGCATCGTGAAGTGGCGCAGGTGGGGGGGGCCTGTGTCGCCCACCAGCTCGTACGTCACGGCGGGCAGCCGGTATTCCTCGCACAGCTCCTTCAGCAGCGCCACGTAGCTTCGCACGTCACAGGAACCGCTCGTCCCGCCCTTATCAAGTATTCAATAAAATCAGAAACAAAATTAATAATGTTCTAAAATTATTGTCAATCGTTAGCAGTCTTACGAAGTCAGCATAATACCGGGATCGTGTCCTGGATTAAGGGCGCGGCGGGCGCGGCGTAGGGCGGCGGCACGGCGTGTCCGCGGCGTGACAGTTGCTGCAGCATGAGGCGCGCGACCTCCTGCTTGGCCTCCTTCTTGGACCGCGCCGTGGCCGTCACTACTACGCCGCACGCCATACAGCGGTAGTCGAACATGGCTTGGTGCTGCGGCCCGCTCTAACGACAATGTTACTATAGTTAGCAATTTTAACTATAAATTCTGTTCTAGGTATGATATGTAGGTATCTATTTGTAAAAAACCCAATAAACTAGATCTTTTTATGGGCTTTTTCTGAAAGTGCCAACGAAAAAAAATGGTACGTATCGTAAGATCTAGCCATTTGGAGCAAAAGTTAATATGGCGTAAAAGTTGTGGGATCTAAGATGAAGAGAGTTATACCAGTTCTAAAGGTGCTGGTAAACGCAAAATAATGGTCGATATTGCTAGAATTAATTGCCGAAGCAATTGGGTTTGTAATGCGATAAGTTTTTGTTGTAGTTGTAGTCTTTTGTTTTCCTTGGAATATCTTCATCAGATCGTTACTGTCCACCTATTTCCAAGTCCTACTCCGTACCGGGGCCCCGGTACCTCTATGAAGATCTACCCTCGACCTCAGACAATTGTAGTCTTCTATTTATTATTTAATGTAACGATTTTATCTCCTGGTACCGGTAAACGTATGTCACATTATCATGCAAAAGCGTACCTAACTGCGGGAGAGCCATGCTTCGGCACAAATGGGCCGGCTTGACCGGACTGATACCACGGCCTCTTTCAGAAAAGGCCCAAAAATGTATGGAGCCGAAATCATCTCCTTTTGTACTATCATATATTATTATCATTGAATAGATAGGATTAGTAAGCCCACCTGAGCTATACATTCATATTCTGGTGTCTGGCCCATCTTCACCATCATTTCCTGCAGAACAGTTACAGCCGTCTTCATTTTCAGCTCTCCAATATTTCTGAAAGCAAACACGTAAATTATTGTACTATCTATCAACTGTGTTCTGTTTGTCATTTTTTTTTTTTTTTGAGGTGGGAAAATCATTCAATGACTGCTCCCGCCTGGGTGAGGCGGGAGGGAGTGTCAGACTCTTACTGACTAAAAACCACCCCGTTCCTACTCCTGCACTTCGAGCCGGAGCCCCGGCAACCCGTTAAGTCTTCCGCGGCTCCGTATCGGCATTAGCCCTGTTGGGCCCCATCCGTGGTGGTCTGATGGCTCTTTGAGGCGCGCGCGGAACGCGACGCGCCGTACGCTCGGGCCTGGTTCTGGTCGGGCGGCGAGTCACCCGTGCTCGCCGTCCGCAGGCCCATGCTTACGGTGGCCGGAGATCGTCTCGCGATCCCCGACGCCCGGAGTGTCTCTCGCGACGGCCGGGGCATGAGGAGGTTCGTTCCCTCACGCGCTCCGCCTCCTCCTTAGCTAGCATAACTGCTTCGCAAAAGGAGGAGACGGCATCCCAGTCCCCCTCGCTCCGTACCATGGTCTGAACCAGAGTCGGCCGCGTGTTCTGTTTGATTCACGATTGTTAGGTATGGAAATAATAATAATCTATCTATATCTATGTGGGATAAACATTGTACCTATTTAGTAATTTAAGAACGCAGATTATCGGATTGTTAAAACGGAACGCAGCGGATGAAAGAAAGAGACAAGTATGTGTGCGAGAGAGAGAGGAGAGGAATGGCGATAGGAGTTACGAAAAAGAGCCACTGTCGATGTAACGCTGATTTTTATAACGTGTTTGAAATAAAAGTTTCAATTAATAGTGTTCGATTATTTTGCCATACAATCCCACATCTATACATAATAATAAAATTGTACAAGTGTAAATTGTGTACAATGAAAATATTAAAAAAATGGGGGTGTTACTAGATAGAAATCGAACCCAAAAATATAATTAAAAATAATTTTTGTCACTCTGTCTGTCTGTATGTTCACGCATCACGCAAAAGTACCGGTCCGATAACGATGGAACTTCGTAGAATTATACTTTAATATCCTGGGCATAACACTGGGTAGTTTTAATACCGAAAATGTATCCAGACGAAAAAACAAACTTAATTGTGCGGCTCAATCTTTAGACACAGTTGCTGTACCAAATGTAAATATAAGTTTGTCGAATGTAAGGTTACCCGCATTGGACTTTACGCTGTTAGTGTAGGGCCGATGGTTACAATTAGCTTGAACCGATATTATTAATTTGAAAATATGTTAACAAATTATATGTTTGGTTGTTTGTTACACAGTCACATCAAAACGGCTGTCGGCGCGACGGTGGTATAAAAACCCACGGCCGCGCGAGCGCCGCGCTTTTTCATCTACATACTCGGTTCACTAACGCCATAGCTTTTGGGCATTTCTTTGTGTCGGCGCACCATCGGTCTTGATTGTAATATGTGGTATTAATCTATAAATTGTGCAGTCTTCTGTTTTACTTAAAATAACCCGACAGAGCTTCGACGACGGCTGAAGGGACCGGCATAAAATTTGAAACAGAAGTACATTTACACAATTAAACCTAAAAAAACTCGAACATGATTTACGTAATATCGACTTTGCACCGATTTATAATTCTGCTGATGTCAACGTCTCGATGTCGTATTTAATAAATAATGTTGAACAACCTATTCATCGAAATACCACAGTAATAAAAACTAATAACAGACATTACAACATAAAGCCACTGATAATTTTGATCTACAACATACAAAAGATACAGGAACTTTTGCAATAATTTGCTGAAAAAGATTAAAATCGATTACGATAAAGGCGCGTTACATCGGGCGGGTAAAAATAGTAAGAGGCTTTGGCAACACATAAAAGATGTAACTTTTACGTCCAAACAGCGAGAACCATGTTCGAATTTACTACTAACAGAATCTACTACGCTTCAGTCTGCTGACAATGTAAATAACTTCTTTTTAAATGTGGGTAGAAACCTCGCTCAACAGTTGCTGTTAGACTCTACAACCCGGACTAATACAACTTTACTATACTCAA